CCCCTCCCTCAGACCCGGGGGCCCAGGCCCAGGCCTCCTATATCAGGACCAGCGGTCCAGGCCCAGCCCTCCTCCCCCAGACCTGGGAGCTCAAAACTCAGTCCTCTCTCTTCGGACCCGGGAGTCTGGGCCTCAGGCCCTCCTCTCTCAGACCTCAGAGTCTGGCCCAGGGCCTTCCCTTTCTTCCAGATCCAGGAATCTAAGTCCCTTTCCTCCTTTTCCCCGACTTTAAAGCAGCAAGTTCTTGCTGGCTGCAGGATGACCTCACCAGAATCTCACCACGCCAAACATGCGGGCGCTGGTATTTCTCGCACAATCCAGCTCCCAGAGACACGGAAGGCGGGGCCAGCCTCAGCCTGACAGGACATTCGAAGTCCCATTGGTCGACGCAAAAGCATTGGCTGAACTCCATTGGACGAGTCTGGAGAATCTCTGCTCCTCATTGGCCACAGAGAAGCCAATCCCTGGCAACCGGTAGGTGTGCATGCGCAGAAGGTGAGTAGTGGACAAGCTGGCAGAAAAGAGTCGGTTTGGTCTTAGGCCGCCCCAGGCGTTGCACTGTAGGGTGTGGGGTGCGTTTCCAAGTGACCTTGCTTCTCGTTTTCTTCTCTTTGAGGTGCATTATCTCTGGTTCTCCAGCCACACTAGGAGGTTAAACTCTTGATCCTTATCCACTGAACCAAATGGCCTACCAAAATGTCCTCTCATATTCTTAAGTCTTTCCCTTGCTCCAACACCACCCAGAGGCCCTTGGCACTGGAAATCAACTTGGTCCCCTCAGTCCATGTGCAGGAGCCACTGCTTAGCCTAGGCTTCTTTCTCTGATTGTGTCATTGCATGATCCTCCTGCATAGTCTTCCAGATAGCTGAATACAGGTACATTCTGTTCAGCATCACTTTGTACATCCTTAAATTATATGCATGACCAGTAACCTAGTGGTCACAGGTTGCTACCAGCCTCCCGAGTTGCTAGAATTACAGGCGTGTGCCAACGCATTCAGCCCTCTCTAGTTTTGATTCTGCCTCCAGAAGAAAAATTAAGGGAAAGGTAGTGAAATATCCACCTCAAATGCTGGGTCCCTGATGCCTAACCCCCCAGCCCTCTCATTGCTTAAGAACCTATGGTCCCTGCACCAGCTGCCACCTCTCTCAGATATGTGAACCCAGTCTCCTGATCCCCCTCATACTTGTAAGTCCAACCCCTCAACCCTTCCTACCTCAGACCCTGGAGTCTAGGCCCCAGCCCTTTCTCCCTTGTCCCAAGAGTAACAGCCCTGGCCCCTCTTTCCTCAGATCCAGGAGTCAAAGTCACCATCCCCTTCAACTCTCAGCACCCAAATATAACAGGATGTAAGAATCCCTTTGTGATCCTTTAGAATTGATAGTGATTCTGGGAATTAAGCTAAAAATATTTCTTTTTAATAGAGAAAAATGCCACAATAAGAATTGCATTGGTAGAAACACTTAATCTTATATAAAAATAAAATTCAATAAGAACTTTTCATAGATTAAAAGGACTAGGACTGGTTATACCAGATAAATACCATGTTGAAGGGCACTGACTATCTGTTTCTCACATATGTTGCAAATAGGACTGGCCAGTGTTATCTGCAGTGTTTGTCTTGCACAAACACCAGGACAGCATGCTCCTTGGGATGTTGGTCATATAAGGAGCTAAACAAAGTAGCAGAGTGATGACGCCACTGCTTTTCCAGCCTAACTTATATACCCCTTTCCCCGTGGTTACAACTGCAGAATAGAGCACCTAGGAGAGGGAAGTGCTCACCCAACTGGCCACCAAAGACTGGCACCTGACCAGTCCGTTGCCACTGGATCTTCCCCATAAGCATTTCTCAATAAACTTTCTCTCATCCCGTCTCCAGGTGTCTTTTTATGGTCTCTCAGCAAACTGTCCCTCTGCCCTAAGATAACTTGGCTGTGAATATTACATTTGGTACCCCAGCCAGGAGACCAGGGAAATTTCCATGGGCACTGGGGATGTGGTCTTTGAAAAGAGGAGATAGACAGGTATGGGGAATCTCCTGGGATGACCTTTAACCCCCATGTGTGGGGTGGTGGTGACTATTATGGATGTCGGGGGGATACCCTGTGAGTATAGGGATTCCCCACCTTATGGATTAGGGGGAATACTAAAGTTTATTGATAGACGATAGGAAAGGAAAGATTGGTATAAGATTATAGTATTCATGCAGTGGCTCCTAATGGCAGTTCAGACATCATTGGAGCTTCAAGTGGGGCTTTGTCAAATTCCCTCCCTCCTCCTTGCCCCCTTCACTGACTCCTGCAGTGGGGTGTAAGACTTGCACCCAAGTTTGGTGAAACAGGCAGGAATCTCCCAGATGTCCTGTCCAGAGTCACCCTCTGGGCAGGACATAGGGCCAAAGCAAGCTTCCACCCTCTGTTCCCCCCTCGCTTCCCACTGGGAGCTGGCAGTGGTGGTGATGGTGCAGTAGTGACAGTTGAGTCCAAGCGCTCTCCGTCTGTCCACACCCTTGGACATAAATTGCCCACAGCAGAAGCAACAGTGGTGGAGGCAGAGGTGGAAGAGTGGGTGGGCCAGATCTGGGTCACTAGGAAGGGAAAAGGAAAAGCCACCACCCAGCCCTGTGGGCACGGCAATGTTTCCACAGCTCTGTTTCTGCTGTTGCCACCTCAGGCCCAAGGAGACAAGCATAAACACAAGTATCAGGAGAAAGTTGTCTTAGAGAGATAAATACTATTTGGCTCTACCATTCACCTGCATTCTGTGTGGGAGAAAGGAAGGTATCATCATTACCATGAATCTCTGGGAGAGGCACTTCAAGGAGTTAAATTGAAATTTAGTAGTCTGAATATTAAATTTAAAGATAGTGTACTGTTAATCTGAGTCTTTTCCCCACGTAGCAAAAACAGCTCAAGTGTTGATCACACATCTCCAAGGAAGAGGATGAGCCGGGATGAGCCTCTTCCAAATGGCACAATCTGGGCTCTCTGTTAAGTACTCAGGGATGGGTGGATTTGGGTAAAGCTAAAGAGGTACCAGCTGCTGTTATAGATATAGCCCAAGATTTTGTTACTCCAGCTCCCTCCAAATAGTTGCAGACAACTTTGGGATCTTTAAGGGACTGGTGTCCCTTCATTCTGTATTTAGCAGAGATGTTGCACCATTGTGCCATTTAGTACAAAGGGGAACCCATTGGGACTGGGAACCTGAGCACCTTGAGGTCTTTTTTCAAGCAAAAATAGTTGTAAAGCAGTTATAAACAATCCAATAAATGGACTGTTTGTAGCTGCCTTGATGGGTTTAGGTGGGGTCTATGGTATGACATGGCAATAAATGAGTTCCCTTAAGATTATGATCATAGCTATGGAAAGGAGCAAAAGTACCATATTGTTCCATTAAAAGACAGTTCTGTGCTTTGTGTTCAACCCTAAGACTACTGAGTTACTGTGTGCATCATCCTCCTGTCACAGGATGGTTGCCAGATGCTTTTAAGAAGCCCCATCTTAGATCAGCATGAACAGGCACAGTGTGCAGTGACATGAACATTTACAGCAAAGAACCACATTGACTTCCAACCTTTTTTTAATATTTATTTTTTAGAAGTAGTTGGATGCAATACCTTTATTTTGTTTATTTATTTTTATGTGGTGCTGAGGATTGAACCCAGGGCCTCGCACATGCTAGCCCTCTACCACTGAGCCACCATCCCAGCCTCCTAACCTTTTAAGTGCAGAGTTACATGACATTCTAGGACTAGGCACATATGCCAATGAAGAAAAGGAAGTATTAGATGACATTCTATCATCCACCCCTCTGATGCAGAGCCTTTGTGCAGGTTCCACCTGACTCAGATTCACAGTGTTCTTGTGACATCTATTTCCTTTAGGAACCTTGAGCAGTTCAATCATGGGAATCAGGTAAAAGACCATCAAAGCTGGATTCTGGAATTAGATTGCTGCCACATCTAAGGAGTGCAGAGATTCCCACTGTGATGGAGAAAGATGGAGCATGGGTGAGACAAGGCCTGTAGTGACATCACAATTGCTCAAATTATCCCCAGTGGTAGTAGTATAAAAAAAAAGTGCAGGCAGAGGACAAAATACTAGGAATAGAAGTGGTCATGGCATTTTGTTACTATGGCAACAGTGGTGACTGTGTTGATTCAACTGGTTTCCTTGAATGAGCATAGGAAGCAAAGCTTTCTGAGGAACAGAAGCAAAAGAAAAAAGACAATGTCCACATGGAGATGCTAGTGGACATTCGAAAGCCTTATTGAACTGAGTCCCTTGACTTCTGTAGTCCCAGGGCAGATTGGCTGAAGACCAAGCCAAGAGCCAGAGGGAAAGACTTGCTGAGTCTTGGACAGCAAGGTCAGTGTCATTCAAGTTAGTTAACATGGGTACAAAGCTCGGAGAATCCATGACTGGTAGCCAGTCATGCTTCATGTGCGACCTTAACCTTGCTTGATTTACAAACCCAAGTGAAATTTGACCTGTTTTTTCGTAAATGCCCATGTGAAAGAAAAAAAATAGAACTGAAGCTCAACCAATCAGAAGCTGTCAACAAACTTATTTAACTAGAGACTTTCCGACAGCACAGACAAAATAAGACAACTGTTTAACTGCAACCATTCGAACATTTCCTTGATTTACTTTTATGTCTGACCTATAGAGGCTTCCTCCTTGTGCCAGCTTGATGGAGCTTCCAAAATGCTTTGGGTTCAGAGCCGTTCAATTTGTGAATCACAGATTGCTCAGATAAACTCTTTAAAATTGCACTGTGCCTCAGTTTACTTTTTAAGGGTATTCAACTTCCACCAGACTGTGTAAAGATAGATGCACTGGTGGAGAAGGAGCATGGCCCTCAGACATGGGACAGGGACTTTGGGCAGATTGCACATTGATTGCCAGTGAAGACATCTTCCCACTCTGCACAAAATCCTGCCAGGGATGGTGTCTGGGGCAGCTACCTCAGAAGGGAGGCTTGCTTTGCCCCATACCTCCAAGAGTGAGGTTCCAACACAGGAAGAGCAGCAGGCCTGATCTGGGGAGAGTGACACACACTGAGAGGATTATAGGACACCAATCTGAGCTAGCCTAAATCCTGTAACATGTGTAAAGAGGTTTGGGGCCAGTTATCCATTTATTGCCACAAAGCTCCAGGTCCACTTTTCATCTCCTCATTTGTGATACAGCTGGAGCCCCTTCTCACAAGTATTTCACATTGTAAGTATAAGACTTTGCCAGTAGAGGGTGCTA